CCCCCCCCCCCTTTTTTTATTTCGTTGCCCAGGAGTAAGACCACATTTCTTCCCCCCTGCGGTGTTGACCTTCCCGCCCCAAGTCTTCAGCAATCCCCTCACGACTGCTGTATACTACACTGTACAATTGTGTGCTGAGCAAGCAGTCTACATGAGGACCGCATCGTAAAGACATAGCAGTCTGACGCGTGGTTCGTTGATGCCACCCGCTGTATCTGACAATCATCGAGTCGCTGTTGGTGAAAGAAAGCCTTCTTATACAGTCGCTGGTCTGCTGTGCACAAGAAGGGCAAACGGGGTCTGTTCTGTCGGTTCTTAAGTCCCATCGTCCTTAATCGTTGTGTCCAGAATTTGTCTGGCGAAGGTTGTCTGCCTATTCTCGATTTTTTTTGTTCTCGAACAACGATTGAATAGATCAAACACGCTATTTAGCGCAGATACACCATTGTATTGATGACGATGCGTTCATAACAGTACCGCCGGACTGTTGAGTACCGAATTAAACGATAAGAATTAAATTATAAGACGTTGACGACCATCTTTGGCGGCATTTCTCAATTTTCATGAAATCAAGAAACATGCGCTTTGAACATAATTTCAATATTTGCTCGATAGATGATTTGTTCGTGGACGCACGTTTTGTTGGAACTCGCTTCTGTTCACGCATCTCCGTCCAACGCTGTTCGTCTACAATATGCCATTTGAGGTGGGCACATCAACGCGCACGACTGGGACGCAATTGGTTGTTCAAGATGAAAGTCTGCATCCTCACCTATCCGTGCCCAGGCGCTGTCTTCCGAGATTCTGCCGGTCTGTTCGTTGTTGTTCTCGCTCCAGTGTATATATGCGCATGTTTTTTGAGAAAATAACTCGCGCGACCCGATTGTAATGACTGCAATAATTGGACACATGGACGTTTGCAGGAAGGCGTTCATTATGTCGATGATCGGACGTCTGGAGGAGGACAAGAAGAAGGGGATGGCGCAATTCTCCCGGGAAGAGGGCCAGGTGCGGTGTCGTGAACAAACCCAAGCGTACCGTGTTGGACCCCTTATGACGATGACTCCCCTCCCCCTGCTATGACGAACTAGCTGCACGCTCGATGATTTTGTTGCTGGTGTTGGGAACGCTTTGCCTGGGTTTCTGTACAGTAAGGGGTTGGGCCGTAAACGCTTTCCCCGTAGCAGATGAAAGCAACTTCGAATGTCGTCTCAGACGGTGTGCTTGTACACGGTAGGCCCCTTTGCGCAACCTTGTTCATGCTGTCGTTACGTCGATGCTGCTGCTAAATATTTCCTATCATGACTGGACTGCAGCGCCTACTCTTCAGGGACAACCCCCCGCAGCAAATCACGCACGGCTTTCGTACAGAGTACGCGGGTGGGCTGGTCGTAAAGTTACAAAAACATCTAGGATGAAAAATGCTTCTTTCAACAAGAAAACGCTGGTACAAGTACTCCCCCCCCCGGCCTGATGGAACCCCCTCGGCCTTTGTTCTACGCCTGGGCTCTCAGCGCCAAAATTTGCCATGCGCAACGGAGGGATCGTAGCCTATAGCTTCCCCACTACCCCGGTCTACATCCAGTCGTAACACTTGGAGAACCCCCGGCATAACCAATCAATCCTCTGCCCCCTTCCCGTCGTCCTCGTAGAAGTATGCGTTTTGCCTCAGGCGAAGACTAGCTTTACTGCTGTGCGCCCACAATCTCTCAAACTAACAAATACTGCATTTCTCAGAAAATGACGATGGAGTGGGCGATGAGAGAGTTCAACGCGGCAGACGAGGAGGATAGGGCTGGGCTCGCTGACCAGGGCACCGCGCGGACATTTTACGCCGGTAAGATAGTACCGAAAGCACTAAAGCCCTAACCCTAAACCTGACCCTAACCGTAATGTGAAGACGACAAGAACAAGAACAACAACTGAATGAGAAAGAATACTGCTCGGATGTGCTTGTGTGTAATCGTTGGGAGTGACGCGGGGTGCGAAGGGAGAGTGCTCGGTGTTCTTGCAGGCAGGCGTTCGTGTTGATGGGGTGGTAGTGTCGATCTTGTTTCTTTTCTTGGTTGGCGGATGTGCCGTGGTTTTGTTATTGGGAGGGTTGGTTATGTTGTTGTGGTTGTGCAAGGGAGGTACTGTAGCCGGTGGTGGCGATGCTGTGGTGGTGGGTGTGGTTGTGTTGTTTTTTTAGGTGGCGGTGAATGTTTTTTACGTTGCTATCCCAGATGGATGGCGGAGGAAGGGAACAACGGTGTTGCACCCGAGACACGGCGACGACCTCCCATCTCAGGACCTCCCCCCCCCCCCCCCCCCCCCCCCCCCCCCCCCCCCCCCCCCCCNCACGGCGACGACCTCCCATCTCAGGACCTCCCCCCCCCAACGCCCCCTCCAACTCCCTGCAGTCACGACGCCCCCCCGCACCTCTCTCTTCCGTCGCCCCCCGCGACTACCTACGCCCCAAAGCGTTGTTTTTTGTCTATCACAATGCCATTAAAGTGTGATTGCCGAGGTGTTGTGCCTGTACATGTGCATCCTTGCATACTTGGGAGGTATCCCATCAGCTATGCTTCTCAAGCAGGAGGCGTGATTGGTCAATGGTCGAATACTGATCAACGTCGAGCACCACCAGAGTGCAGCCCCCCCCCCCCCCCCCC